CTAGCCTATTGCATCCTAGTCTGCGGCGTCACCCAGGCCAGGCACTCCTCACCAATCCCACTTGAGAGGGGAATATATGACTAAAGTCACTGCAGCATCCTGTTTCAGCTAGTCTGCCCGGTCCCAGAATGTCCTCTGTTGGAGCCTCCTAGTCTAAGAAAGGGTCTCTGTTCCTCTCACTCACTGCAGCTCAATGCAGGGCTCCCCACCAGTCCCGCTCTCAACTCTGTTCAGTTGGCTGATTCCCACTCTCAGAGCTTTCGTGCGTCTCTCTCCCTGCTGTGCTGATTCAGATGCAGCAGTGGTAGCAATTCAAATCACAGCTTCCAGTGGCGCCGGTTCCAGCTTCCACGCTGAGATATTATCTGTTCCTGTTATAGCACCAGGATTGCATTTCCAGTTGGTTTCTCTCAACTTAGTTCATTCTTGGGATAGCAGGGTATATTTCCCCTTGCTTAGGACTCCTCACGCCACACCATTCCTGGATTCTAAGCTGGCAATCTCAAAGAGCCCCCATAGCTGCTGTTATCTGTCCACCATGTTCTCCTGGAAGTCTGAACAGGCAGATTTTGGAAACAACCTAAATGCTCATTGAGCAAGGAATGGATAAGAAAGAGGAAGTATTTCTGTACAGTGGAGTACTACTCAGCCAAAAATAATGATAAACTTGGGGCCAGGGTTTTAGCTCAGCAACATAAGTGCCTGCCAGACAGGCACGTGGTTGTGAGTTTAATCTCCAGTACCAAAAAAAAAAAAAAAAAAAAAAAAATGATAAATTGAACATTTTATAGGTAAATGAATGTGCCTTGAGAATATACTTATTAGTGAAATAAATGTCACACATGCATAAACATCGTATTGTTTCATTAGTGTAACAATCTGAAAGAAAAAAACATGTATTGTGTCCCAGAGAGAATGATTTCAGCCAAAGCAATGACTCAGGCCATACCTGCCTTCACCCTAACCCATCGTGAGGCATTTTGAGTTGACTTTTGAATGTCTTAAGATATTTTTGATGTAGGGTGCTGGGGATTTAGCTCAGCGGCATAAAGCACCTGCCTTCCAAGCAGGCAGTCGTGAGTTTGATCCCTGGTACCAATAAAAAGGAAAAAAACAAAAAAATTAAAAAAAAAAAAAAAAAGAAATTTTTGATGTCTATAAGGTTTGGATGTGGATATCCAGTTGTTTCAGTATAATTACTGAAGGTACAATCCTTTCTCCATTTAATTGCTTTTGCATCTTTGCCAGAAATCAATTGTCTGTTATGTGGGTATTTATTTTGGGACTTCATATTGGTACTTTGGTGATTTGTCTATCTTTTCTTTTCTTTTTTTTTTTTTTTTTTTTTTGGTACCAGTGATCAAACTCATGACCACACATTTGATAAGTGCTAATCTGTGAGTTCAATCTCGAGTACCAAAAAAAAAAAAAAAAGAAAGCAAGAAAGAAAATGGGGTATTTTTTATCCTGGGTTGTGACTGAACTTAATTAAGACTTGCAAAATACGTTTTTTTATGAGCCAGTATCTCATATAGTTGCCCAGAAGAAAAAGAGAGAGGAAGCTGGGCAAGGTGGCCCACACCTGTAATCCCAGGACTCAGGAGGCGAAGCAGGAGGACTGTTGCAAGTTCAAGATCAGCCTTGACTACAAAGTGAGTTCAAGGCCAGCCTAAACTGCATAGTGAAATCCTATCCCAAAAACACAAATAATAATAATAACAACAATACAAATAAAGAGAGACAGAAAGAACAAAAAGGAGAAGGCAGGAGAGGAAATGAGAGGAGGTGAATGGGATAAAGTTAAAATTTGTAATTGCTGGGAAATATCACTCTAAGAGCAGGAGTTGGAATCTGAGTCACTTCCATTGTATGTCCTCCAAGAAGCCTACAAAGCCGTGATCTTAATGCTATAAAGATTTTTATTCTCGGGGCTGGGGATTTAGCTCAGCGGCATAAGCACCTGCCTTGCAAGCAGGCAGTTGTGGGTTCGATCCCTGGTACCAATGAAAAGGAAAAGACCAAAAAAAAAAGATTTTTATTCTCTGATGCTGACTATCCTTGCACACACATACACACTCATTAGGCCAGTCACTTTTTAAAACTACTTTTCACATAAGAGACAGAATTATACTCTCAGTCACCCTTTACAGAATGGTTCTAATGTCACCCTCCTTGGGTTTGGCCACACCACACTAAACACAACCAATGGTGTCTGATGTCATCCTCCTATCCTGACACAATCTAAGTGCTGCTTACCATTTTATTGTTCTTCCCTAGACTTTCTCTTTTTGCCCTTTCTATCTCTATAAATGAAATAATCAAAACAAAATGCAGTATTTCAAATGGAATAAATATACAAGTATTGCATGATATCTTTCCTATCACTTCTGTTCCTGATGCCTCTAGCCTTCTTCCCTTTCTTTCTTAGCTGGAGACCTGGCCTCTCTGACACTCCACACCATGAAAGGTTGCAGCTTACCCACCCACCATGACACTGGTAGCTAGAATGCTATGTTCCCTAGCATATCTCTGCTATCAGTTTACACAGAAGTTCACCAGCTTTTGGTTTTACTGTTCATCTGGAATTCTTCATGTTGCTGTCAAAAGACTTCCTGCTGCACTCTCACCAGACCTTCTTAATGGCTTCTGGTGAATGACTTATATCAAAAGCTGCAAAGCCCAGATAAATTGTGCCCACTAGCTCTTGCTGACCCACCACATTAATTCTTCTGGGAGCTTCTGACAGACCATAGATATACACCTCACTCTCACAAAAGGATTTTCTCCAGCTTCTTGGCCATGACCAATTTTTCAGGTTGACATTTAAGGAGTCCTACTGGTCTGGACTATGACTTAGTACAGTTGGAGACACCAACCAGTGCCTCAGAATGGTCTGCATCCATTAAACTGCTCTGAAAATACTCATTCATCGCTGAAGCTGGCACATTCCAGTCACATGTAATTCAGCTCCCTTTAACTACACTCAGCACTTTTCCTCAGCTTTTTTATTTACTGTTAGAACAAGGCCCATAGCTAGGAATTTAGCTCAGTGGCATAAGTACCTGTCTGAAAAGCATGAGGTTGTGAGTTCTAGCCCCAGTCCAATAAAAAAGAATAAGGCCCAGAGGCTTTTGATACATGACAGAGATCATAATTCTACCATGAGTACCCCTCCAGATCACCACTAAAACATACTGGTGATAAATTATATATTTACTAGTAGTTCTATGTCCCATTCATCTGTTCCCCCAAGAAAATGAAAGTGATCATCAGTCCCTGGGATTTTTTTTTTTTTTTTTGTCTTTTTCGTTTTTTATCGGTACCAGGGATCGAACTCACGACTGCCTGCTTGCAAGGCAGGCGCTTATGCCGCTGAGCTAAATCCCCAGTCCCAGTCCCTGGGATTTTTAACATGGCTCCTCAGATTCCAATCCATCCTTAAGTTTTCTTTTTCACAGCTTCTCTTTTCTTTCTTTCATATTTCCTCTTACATAAGCTCCAGCTGAGTATGATGGTGTATACCTATAATCTCAGCACTCAGGAAGCTGAGGCAGGAAGGTCACACCAAGTTTGAGGCCAGCCTGGGCTACATAGTAACTTCAAAAGCAGCCTGAACTACATGGTGAGACCCTGCCTAAAAAAAAAAAAATCCAGATTTTGTGTTAGCCACACTTTCAACCTGTTAAACACTATAACTATGAATCATAAATAATCACTATGTTCTAGGAGGGTAGCACATAACCACAGCTACTTAGAAAGAAGGTCAAGGTGGGAAAAATTTCAAATTTGGAACAGTAAAGAGATCTTATCTCAAAATAAAAATTAAAAAGAATTGGAGTTCAGTGGTTGAGCACACTTGGGGGTCAATCCCCAGTATAGCAAAAAAAAAAAAAATTTTTTTAAATAAAAAACCTGGGTGTGGTGGTTACACACCTGTAATCCCAGCACTCCAGAGGTTAAGACAGGAGGTCACTGCAAATTCAAGACCAGCCTGGGCTACAAAGTGAGCTCAAGGCCAGTCTGAGACCTTGTCTCAAAAAGACAAAAAAAAAAAAAAAAAAAAAAAACATATATATATATGTATATATATATATATATATATACAAATTTATTTGTAGAGGAGAGGGAGGGAGGGTAAAACAAATTTATCTGTAAAAAGTTCATAGGTGTTTCTACTAAGCTGGGTTTAAAAACATTACATTGAGATATTTATTCATTTTATTAGAAATTATATTACAGGATTCTTCTAAAAACTATATTTTCTACTACATGTATTGGATTTAAGAGTTTTGTTTATCAGATAGGAATGGAGATATGTGTCTGTGATTTTATCTACTAGAGAGGCTAAGGCAACAGGCTTGCAAATTCAAGGCAGGCCTCAGAAATGTAGCAAGTTCAAGGCTGGCTTGCCCTACACTGTGAGACCCTATCTTTTTTTTATTTTTGTCTTTTTGCTTTTTGTCAGTACCGGGGACAGAACTCACGATTGCCTGCTTGCAAGGCAGGTGCTTATGCCACTGAGCTAACTCCCCAGCACCCCCCCCACTACCTGCTTTCACGGCAGGCGCTTATGCAGCTGAGCTAAATCCCCAGCCCCTTTGAGACCCTATCTTAAAATAAAATATTTTTTTAAAGTGATAGGGTATAGCTTAGTGATTGCATGCTTTCCCAGCATGCACTGAGACCCTGGATTTCACCTCCAGTACCTCGAGAAAGCAACTGGTTTATCAAAATTAATCTCTATGTTGTCCATGCAGGTGCATGTCTGTAGGCCAGGCATGCAGTAGGCTGAGCCTAGAGGATGGCTGTAACTTCCAGGTTGGGCTACATAGTAGGTTCAAGGCTTGCCTGAACTACATAGCAAAATCATCTAAAAAAAAATTAATCTTTAAGCCATTTACCATGAATGTGTCTTCTATGTTAAGCAAAGTCCTTCAGGAATGGCCACGTATAAGAAGATTATGCAAACATAACAAATGTCCCTTAAGGGGTCCTCTTACCTCATATTTGCTGTAGTTTACCAGCAAAGCCAAGAGGACAACAGCATCATATCCATGCTCCCTACGACTTGGAGGGTGGGAGAGTATCTGTAACAAGAACCAGAAATTTGTTAACTCCACAGGGCTAACTCCTGGTTCCTGGGGAAACAGACCAAGAAAATCTGAGATACACAAGGCATAGAAGTGAATGCCTGTAATCTTAGCCCTCTAAGAGGCTGAGACAAAAAGATCAGAAGTTTGAGCCCAGCATTGGGCAATTTAGCAACTTAGGGAGATGCTGTACAAGCACTGCGGATGTAGCTCCCGATGTAGCTCAGTAAAAACCCTAGGTTCAATTCATCAGTACTGCAATGAGAGCCAGGCAAGGTAATACACACTCGTAATCCCAGCACTTAGGAAGCTGAGACATGAGGATCGCTGTGAGTTTGAGGCCAATGTGGGGAACATGAGTTCAAGGCTAGCCTGAACTACATAGTGAGACTCTGTCTCAAAAAAATTTTTTACATTAAAAAAAAAATGGAAAAAGTGAAGGAAGGGAGGGAGGGGACAGAGAGGGAGGGAAACTGAGGAAATGGTCTATTCCAAAGACAAAGATGTCACAAGAAAATTGACTCACCTGTAAAATTGCTTCGAATATGCTATTGATCATTACATACTCCAAGATAGTGTTCTGGCTAATATTATCTGTCACCTGAATGTAATAAAAAGTTTTTTTACTAAAGTCTCTACTGAGGTACTTTGATATGTATCCTACTTTGCCATCTAAATGTTACAAGTCTATTAGGTACTTAGCATACCATTCACAAGCACCCCAAAGCCACCAGAGTCACCACAGTTAGACACTATGAGGGCAGAAAATGAGCTGATGAAAACTTCCTACATCTGTGAACATATTCTCATACCCTACAAGCACTGGCTTCAGTTTTTCAGATTTCATTCCTCAACTGCATGGAAAAGGTTTTTGAATCCAAAAGTCTTTGAGCAGCAGCAAAGAAAGGGAACTATGTAAAGTAGATGAACAGCCTCCCACCCCTTCCTTCCACCAGGAAGTACAGACCTGTATCCCAGCACAAAATCAAAGTCAGAGCAAATAACATTCAGAATAACAAACAAGAACCATTTCAAGGGGCTGGAGATTTAGCTCAGCGGCATAAGTACCTGCCTTGCAGGCAGGAGGTCATGAGTTCGATCCCCGGTACCAATAAAAATGAAAAAGACAAAAAAAAAAAAAAAAAAAAAAAAAAAAACATTTCAAGTGAGCTTGGATAAAAAAGACAAATATGCAACGGTGCGAAGTATCCCACAGCACACAGGCTGAAACTGCCAGCAGGTGTTCCCAGGTGACGCCAGGAGGCCAAAGCCTTCCTAACGTGCAGACATGGGGTAACACAATACCCCAGCAGGAGGCTGATTTTTTTTTTCTCTTTTCCCTTCTAACCTTGGACTCAATTATTCAAATATGCTGGCCTTGTATTAATTTTTTGACAAACAGAAATGGATTACTTACAGTCACTAAGCAAAGAAGAAGTTTCAGACATAAACTCTTCAGACTTTCAGAACCTTCTGCACAAAGCAATGAATCCAAACTCTCCATCAAGTTCTGAGAAAGAGAATAATTCAACATTAAACCATACTGAACATCTATACCCCTTCTTTGTGAACAATACAAAATAAGCAACTGTCAGTCCTCTCTATGCCAAGCCTTGAAAGGTTAAAGAAAAGGAAAACTTCAAACTAGGTATTTTTGGAGAAAGTGCTTTGGTACAACTATACAGAACAATTAAGAATTAATGAGTGTTTGCAGCATGCCACCTACATATAAACCTTTAAATTATAATAAGATAGATTGAAAAAGGGAAACCTAGTTGGATATGGTTGTATACAGCTGTAATCCCAGAACTTTAGGTAGCTGAAAAAGAAAGGTCACAATTTTAAGCCTAGCGTAGGTCATTTAGTGACTTACCAAGGCCCTGTCACAAAAAAAAAAATCAACTGTAGTTTAGTGTGAAGGTTCTGGGTCCAACCCCCAGTACCATACACACATGCCCACACGCACACAAGAGGAAAACAGCAACTGTCAATGCACAGAGGACTTCCAAACAGGTACACCATTCTGAAACGAATTGAAGGGGACAGACAGATGCAGAAGAAGCAATGAATTCCATTTTGGACATGTCAAGAGGTACTTGTGGGATGTGCAAGTGAAAATACATCAATGTATACAGAATACACAACTCTGAGACTCAAAACAAGATGTCAAGGCTAAAGATAGTTAACAGTCATTCACACATATGCAGTAGTTAGAACTGTGACAATAAAGGAACCAGCTGGGATTTCATCATGATATATATATGGACTGTAAGAAACCAGAATTAAAACATGACAATAGGTATTAAATCTTTGTATATTCATAATTGCACATCAATAATTTTTTGTAGCCTAAGCACTATAAGAATACTTTGAGAGGGTGGGGATTTAGCTCAGTGGCATAAGCACCTCCTTTGCAAGCAGGCAGTCGTGAGTTCAATCCCTGGTACCGATTTAAAAAAAAAAAAAAAAAGAATACTTTGATACAAGCACTTTTTTTCTTTTCCTTTTTTTTTTCATCATTTGAGACCAGGTCTGCATGATCACTGTGAAGCCCAGGCTGGCATGAAATAAGAGATCCTCCAGCCTCAGCCTCCTAAATAGCTGGGCTTGTAAACAGGCAGCTGGAATTATAGGCTTGTGAAACTATGCTCAATCAGATTTTTTTTCTTGTAGTGTTAGGGATTGATTCTAGGGCCTTCAGACTGAGCTCCATCCCCAGCCCAATTTTTATATTTTTATTTTGAGATAGGATCTTAGTAAGATCACCCAGAATCACCATCTTCTTGCCTTAGCCTCTGTGTGCTAGGATTACATGCATGTGCCACCACGCCTGGCACCCAGCCAGATTTCTTTTGTAACGGTTTTTTTTCTAAGATGGGTCTCACTATGTAGCCCAGGCTGGCCTCGAATTCATGGCAATACTCATGCCTCAGTCTCCTAAGTACTGGGATTACAGGTACACCCCACCATATCTGTCTAATTTCTTTGCATAAATTTAGCAAATGATAAGGAGTCTAGTTTGACAAAGTTCCTGTTACAAAAAAACTCATTTAAGATAGTATTAAACACTGCAAATTGTGTATCTGATAAGGGACTTATATCTAGAGTATGTAAGGAACTATTACAATTCAATGATAAGAAGACAATTCGATCTAGAAACAGGCAAAAGATTTTAATAGACATTTCTCAAAAAAATTTTAGAAAAAAAGTATGGGACAGACAGACAAAAACAATTGTTAACGTGATATAGAAAATTTGAAGCTATCATATACTGCTGGTAAAATTACAAAATAGAGTAGTTACTACAAAAAATGGTACAGCAGCTCTTCAAACATTAAATACATTCAATCCCCAGTGCCACAAAAAAAAAAAAAAAAAAACATTAAATACAGATGTTAAAGTGTCTATCTAGACATCCCCACCAAAACCTCATGTGCCCCTAGATGGGGCATGGGAAGGTGACTGGATCAGCCAAGTGTGACCCTCATCAGCTGGTTAGTGCTCTAATGACTTGACAGTTAAATGTGATTCAGAATGGGAAATTTGTTTAGGGAGGGTCACTAGGGGCATGACCTGGGAGGGTCTTTCTCCCTGAAAACTCCCTTGTTTACTCTCTGCTTCCTGCTGTTATTCTACAAGCTGTTTCTCCTCTAACAGGCCCCTCTGCGATGCTGTCCTGCCTTGGAATCAGTCGACTATGGACTAAAAACTTTACAAATTGTGAGCTAAATAAACCAAGGCACTATATCTCACTGATGAGAAAGTAAAGCGCTGGGCTCAGTGGCACATGCCCATAATTCCAGCACTCAGGATGCTAAGGCAAGAAGATCACCATATATAGAGGTCAGCCTGGGGGCTGGGAATTTAACTTAGTGGCATAAGCACCTGCCTTGCAGGCGCGCAATCATGAGTTCGATCCCTGGTACCGTTAAAAAAAAAAAAATTGGGGGCTGGGGATTTAGCTCAGCGGCATAAGCGCCTGCCTTCCCAAGCAGGCAGTCGTGAGTTCAATCCCTAGGACAGATAAAAACGAAAAAGACAAATAAATAAATTTTTAAAGGGCTAAGGGTCAGGGATTTAGCTCAGGAGTGTAAGCGCCTGCCTGGCAAGCACAAGGTTGTAAGTTCGATCTCCAGTATCAAAAAAAAAAAAAGGGCTGAGGGGCTGAGGGGCTGGGGATTTAGCTCAGTGGTGTAAAGATTTAGCTCAGGGGGCTGGGGATTTAGCTTAGCGGCATAAGCGCCTGCCTTGCAAGCAGGCAGTCGTGAGTTCAATCCCTGGGACCGATAAAAAGGAAAAAGACAAAAAAAAAAAGATTTAGCTCAGTGGTGTAAACACCTGACTGGCAAGCGTGAGGTCATATGTTCAATCCCTGTCACCAAGAAAAGAAAAACCAAAGGGTAGATACATAGTTCAATGGGAGGTCCTGAATTCAATGCCCAGTACTGCAAACGTTCTAATAGGGCAGGGGATGTTTTGGAAGTTTTTTGGTTTTGTTTTATTTTTTTGGCTGGCCTCAAACTCACAGCAGTGTCCCTGCCCCAGCCTCCTGAGTGCTGGGATTGCAGGTGTGCACCACCACAATTGGCCAGATGTACTTTAGTGGCAGATTGCTTGCCTAACATGTGCAAATCCCTGTGTTCAATCTCCAGCACCACAAAAAAGTTTTTTTTAAAGTAACCTCTATAATAACTTGTTATAGTTTGTTGAATTTCATAAACATTCACGTGAATGCAATCATATTATAAATAAACTGCTAAGTCTTCAACATATAGGAAAAAGATGCCTCAATTCAAATTTGAGTTTAAATTTTTTCTTTAAGACAAACAAATCTGTTAAATAAAAATATGCACATTCAAGGCCAAGTGTGATCACCCACCCCCAGGATCAGAAGCCCAGTGGCACCTGGCAACGGCTGTGGGGACAGTCACCGTGCCACTCACACTTCCACCTCACCTTCATGCACAGCTCGGCCTTGTCGAAGCCCATCAGCATGTTGATTATGTCAAACCCAGAGGTGGACTTGTTCTTCTGGTGGACTCCACGAATAAGTGCACACAGGGTCTGCAGGGGTCAGAGAAAGCATTCGTTCTAAGGACAAGTCTGAAAACTGGGAGAGACTAGGTTGGGGCTTCACGTCACAATCTCCGTATGCCTTCCCCATATGGCTGATCTTCAGTTTCTGTTACAATGAGATTCAAAACACAGTGTGAGGCTCATTTAGCATGTGCAAATCCATAAATTGAAAAAGAGACAGCAACTTCAACTGCTATCATTCTACTCTTTATTTTGCCATTCTTTTTTTGTTATTGATTTTTGGCCAACCTCTTTTTCAAAACTATAGTGCAAGCAGAGAGTAAACAGTGATACTCAAAATAAAAATTGAAATAAAAGATTGCAGACCAGTCATGGTGGTGCATGCACACCTGTAATTCCTGTTCTCGGGAGGTTGAGGTAGGAAGACTGCAAGAAGTTCCAGACCAGCCAGAACTACAAAGCAAGACCCTATATCAAAAAATTTAAATAAGGGCCAGGAACTTAGCTCAGCAGCATAAGCACTTGTCTGGCAAGCACATGGCCATGAGCTCAATCCCCGGTAGCAAAAAAAAAAAAAAAAAAGCCCCAAATAAACAAATAAAAAATAGTTCTTGATGGAATTGGTAAAACTTTTCTGTATTGAAAATCAGCATGGTAGTACGCACTTGTAATCCCAGAACTCTTGGAGCCCAACCCAAGCAGCTTAGTTGAGAGCCTGGGGATGTGGCTCAGCACCAAGGCCCTGAGTGCCATTCAATCCTCAGAGACACAAAAAAATAATATTAACCATTAATTTTAGCATGTATGTTGTAGTCCAATATTTTAGTAACTATTTTTTAGTAATTATAACATGTAAGTCCGTAGGTGTTAATAACCAACTTCTTCATATTTTAACCAAGTGTTTCCCATTCCATATCCCACTTACTAGCTTTGAGAATCTGTACACTGACTTTCTAGTGGGCCAATTTTCCCATCTAGAAAGTAGGAAGGGTAAGAATAGTATCCACTTTACGGAAATGCTGTGAAACTGTAAATATCCTGAAGCACTCAGAACAGTCCCCAGATCTTTGTTAAAGCTCAATAAATATTAGCTATCATAATAATGTAATATATTTTTAGAGGTCATCAAGTGACATAAGATCAACTTATTTCCACTGAAATAAAATAGTATATAACTCACGCCCCTTCGATGACTCATTATAATTAATGAAAGTACAATTCTAACATTCAACTTTCAATGAATTCCTATTCTACACTTCAAAGTACAAAACACACTCTGCCGAAGGTTAACAAAGCAACAGGACAAATAAAATCTATCTTTCTGGGTACCAACCCAAGAGGTAATAATAATGATGAATATAATCCAGGCACTCTGGTAGGCTGAGGCAGGATAATCTCAGGTCTAGCCTGGGCAACTTAGCAAGATCCTGTCTCAAAGTAAAAAATAAAAAAGGACTACAGATGTACCCTAGTGAAAAGGCCCTGGGTTCAACTGAGAGAAAAAGAAACAAGACACATCATGTATCGGTACAAATTCTCCATGATGAATGTGATCGTTATATATACATAAAATGTATCAATAAACTCTGATTGTAATAACAAAAATATGAGAGAGATGAGAAAATTGAGCAGGGCTCAGTGGCACACAATGTGAGGTATCAAAAGCAGGGCCTTACAAGTACCAGGCAAGTGCTCCACCACTAAGCTACATCCTCCGAACAAATGATACTAGAAAAAACTATATTAATGGACAAGATTACCACAATAAGCATCAGTATAAACAAGAAGATGGCTAAGCAAATGTGACAAAAATTAAAGAAATTTTTTAGGGCCTGGGGATTTAACTCAGTGGTAGAACAATTATCTAGCAAGCTGGAAGCCCTGGGTTCAGTCCTTAGCACCAAACAATAAAAATAAATAAATAAAATTTTTAAAAACACAATTTTGAAAAAACAAAAGAAAACCTCACACCTAAGGGGAATTCTAGGTTCCTCAGATTCCAATGGGTGGGTTACAATTCCTTTGTCCTACCAAACCAGACTTCCCGGTCTCCCAGCCTTATACCTGCAATGCATTCACAACTCGAATTGGATGTTCCTCTCCCAGAGCCTGAATGCAGTGTTGAAATAAGCAATTAACATTGTCCTTGATCTTCATTAACTCCTCACTATCAAGAGATTCCAGCTTGCCTTCCAGGTATTCTAAATTCACCTGCCAACAAAACAATAAGGGCATGAGCGCATTTGCATTCTTGGTACAGCACCTGGAAATGGGCTATGCTGGCAATCTTAGCTACCAAGAAACCCAACAGGTAATACCAAGTCTCACCTTCATGAGGAAGAGCTCTTCCCAGAACCGAGGACTGCACTTACTGGGGTCTTCTGTCTGAATCAAAAAGTAACCATGTTCAACACTAAAGATACTACATATAGTCAACTTCATCTTTCAAAATTAACTTTGAAAGTGTTTGGTCATCTTAAACTACTGCAATGGGAAAAAGAACAATTTGAGGAGTTGTTCTTTAATAGAAGACATTGTACATAAATATATATTTCCTGCATCAAAAGTTAAATAGTGAGGCTAGGTGTAGTGGCACACACCTGAAATCTCAGCACTTGGGAGGAGGAAGGAGGATCACCAGGAGCTCAAGGGCAGCCTGGGCTACATGATGAGTTCAAGGCCAGCCTGAACTACACAGCAAGACCCTGTCTCAAAAAAAGATATTCAGAAAAGAAACTTCCTCAGACTTCCTCCCTCCTGTTTCACCCAGCTCATGACCTCAACTATAAGAACAACTCCAACAGTCTACATGAATTATTACACAATCATAACCCTATTATGAGAGTTCACTGTTGTCCTTGACCTTGCTTCCCCTTTCCTGCCCTCTTTCTCCTCCCCATTCCCCAGGTAAACTCAAAGGTAGCAAGTAGACTTTCCTGCTCTGGACTAAGCAACCATAAAGTATGACCCAGTTCCAGGCCTTACCATGAAGATCTCATCATACATCAGCACCACTTTTTCCTTTAGTGGTTTTTTGGAGGCTGAAGATTTCCGAAGCAAACCTCCCCGTTTTTCTATCTGGGCCATGGTTAGACGATCTGTGAAAAAAAGTCCTATTTTAGGGCAGTGAAAAGAATCTGTAGCATATTTGTAGATATGGTGGAGATAAGTCATACCCAATTGTCTAACCTGTGAACATACAACACCTAGGAACATCAGGAAACACAGGTGCATCGATCATAACACACATTATCAGAGTGGAGAATGTTCTTGTTGGAGGAGGCCGTGGTGTGTAGAGGTAAGGAATGTACAGAATCTTACTGCAACTTTCTCTCAAGTTTGCAGAGAACCTAAAACGGCTCTTAAAAATATGAAATCTTTTTTAAAAATAAAAGAAAGCCTGTCAGTGGCAGTATTCTCTCTAGGTTACTGAAGAGTTTACCGAAATACTTCTCACTGGGAAGAAAAAATGATAAACAACCATGCAATAGATCTTGTGCATCTGTCCAGCACCCCTTCCTTGGACCAGGAACATCAAGGTTTAAATCATGCCTTGGCCTGCAGCACAACACATTTTACATCCCTTAAGTGTACCAGTGGACAAGGCTTAAAGCAGATCCAAAGCAAACAGAAAAGTGTAACTAGCTCCATCTATAACAGGGCTGGCCATATATCTGAGGTTGACAGAAGGAGGGCAGCAAAGCACACACTGCCCACAGACTGATGGTGGAATTAAATTCCAAGTATTGATCGCGCTTAGGCCCATTAAGGCAGGAAGTGTGCTGCAGACTGATGTGCTTATCGATCTCCACAAAGTAAATAGGCCTCATCACTGCAAAGTACTTGGCCTTCACTGAATCATAAATCACACTTCACTTGACTGTCTTTAAAAATTCGTCTAGAGGGCTGGGGATTTAGCTCAGCGGCATAAGCACCTGCCTTGCAAGCAGGCGGTCGTGAGTTCTATCCCTGGTACCGATAATAAAGGAAAAAAAAAAAAAATTTGTCTAGAAAGAGACCCAAGGCAGAAAACAGCAGTTAATAAGCCAAAAATTAAATCTGATTTCAAAATAACTGAATACTACTTTCAAGTTTAATACTATATATTTGCAACCCTACTTTGGATCAAGCTTTGATATATCTTTCAGTTCTATATAAAAAGTCTGGGAATCATGCTTCATTTTCCAATCTTGCTTCAAGGAATTCTCCCCTTCCACCCATTCAGCATGAGATCTTGAAGTCCCACAGTCTCCACTATGGATTTTCACATCTTCCCTCACCTCCTAGATCCTCTTGCTTATTAACCAAGCTCCCCTTCTTTCTTAAATCCTAAACTCTAAAATGTGAAACCTAAGCTCATCCAGTGAAAACTACAGAACTAAGGAGAATCCAGATTTTACCTCCGCACAAATCTGAAGCAGCAAAACTAATTTTATTCATGACTTTTGAAAATACTAACTTCCAAATCAAAATCAAATTTTTGCTTAAGGAAGAGATATATCCAAAGTATAGAAGTTTCTATCTTAGATGTCATCTCTTTCATACAGCCAAAAAAGGAGATTTACCTCTGAGTATACAACAAAGCACAAAAATTTTCCCTGACTAGACATTAAACACCGTTTGTTTGTTTGTTTGTTTTGGTTTGGTTTGGTTTTGAGACAGGTTCTCACTATGTATTTCAGACTGGGCTTGAACTCATTATGTAGCCCAGGCTGGCCTCAAACTTCTAGAAATCCTTCTGCCTCAGCCTCCCAAATGCTGGCGTTACAGATGTGCACCACTACACCCAGCATACTGTTTCTAATATAAGTACTTGGTTCATGGTAAATGCTCAGCAGAAATTGTTCATTGGGCAATTCTGAAATAAACTGGGGGAAAATCCTCAAAAGAGCCAGTTGTAGTGGCACATATCGCAATCCCAGCCCTCAGGAGGCTAAGGTAAGAAGACTGCCACAAATTCAAAGCCGGCCTGAGCTACACAGTAAGGTTCTATAATAGGCCATGTCTAAACTAAAATTTTAGTAAGGCCTATATCTACTGAATTTTCACTAACCCTTCATATTCTATTATGGCTTATAGAAAACTGTAGGAAAAAAAGGAAAAAAACTGACAGAAAGATAAGTCTTTCAGACAGTTTACATTATACAATATAGATCACGCCTCTGCCTTAGTCTCCATTCAGAACATTCCTGTGTCCTTAAAACAGGCTGTCAAGAGGAAGATGTCCTTATCCGGGAAAAACAAATTAGAAACCAAAAGGACACTATTAACATAAATCAAAAGCAGGGCAATTCTCAGCTTAGTGGATATAGATCTTGCCCTTGCTGGCTGCAGCCAGTTGATTAGCAGGGTGGCAAGACCAGACCCCCAGAACAGGAAAAGCACATGTTTACAAACACCCTCCTCTCAGGATTTATAATTGGGTTACAGCTAATCAATGACCACCTCAAATCTAATAAACTCTATTTCAGAATCAATACTTTCTAATAAGCAAACAGGAATAGGAGAGGAGGGAAAAACAATTCCAATCCAAACTACCAAATTTCCTAAGAAATTCAATTCTTCTCATCACTCTCCTTCCATTTGGAGCAAAGGAAATGCAGCTGCTGGCCTCAACTCATTACTCTCTGTCACAGTCTGACCACTGGCTGCACACCCTGAAGCAGCCACTTGGCCGCCATGCACGGCAGCGCAGGGAACACTGTAGAGGTGGCAGCCTACAGACAGTTCTCTCCATGTCTCAGCAGTTAAGCCTGTGCTGCTCAACTTGAAACGGAAGTGCCTGACTCCAGGGCAGGAAACTGCAGCACCTGGTAATGTGGAGGGATCTGCTTCCATCCTGCCAGGTCTGTTTACCTCCCCACGGTAGCTGGGGAAGGCACTGCGAGGAGCAGGTACAGGATGAATTGAGCCAGAGCGAGAACAAGGACCTCTCAGCCAGCTGGCAGGGCACACAATCACTGTGCTCCTCATTCTCAGCACAGATAAAAGGGGGTTGGAGTCTGCCTAGTGGCCCACAATATATCCCAACTCCGGGAAGCTGAGACAGAAAGATCACAAATCCAAGCCCAGCCAATTTAGCAAGACTCAATCTTAAAATTAAAAAAGGGTGGGTGTGTGGCTCAGTGTGAAAGCCCTGGGTTCAATCCTCAGTGGAGGAAAGACAGAGCAAGAGCAGGGAGAGGGAGGGAGGATGAAGGATGGAGAAAAAAAGAAAGAAAGGAAGAAAAAAGCCGGACGTGGTGGTACAAATCTCAGGAAGCTGAGGCAGGAGAATCATCAATTCAGGCCCAGCCTGGGCTATATAGTAAATTTAAAGCCAGCCAGAACTACATAGCAAAACCCTGTCTCAAAAAAAAAAAAAAAAAAAAAAGGAAAGAAAATGTAGTACTACACATATATATAATCCTAACACTCAGGCGGACAAGGCAGTAAGATCACCAGTTCAAGGCCAACCTGGGTTACATACATAGCAAGACTGTTTCAAAACAATTAACACCAAAGGGTAGCATACGCCTGTAACTGAGAGGCTGAGGCAGGAGGACTGTTTTAAATCCAAGCCTAAAAATCTAAACTAAATATTGAAACCCTGCCCAAAAATAAAAAAAAGGACCTGGTGTTGGTGACACATGCTTGTAATCCCAAGCACTCAGGAGGCTAAGGCAGGAGGATTGTCACAAGTTTGAGACCAGCCTGGGCTACACAGTGAACTCAAAGCCAGCCTGAACTGCATGATGAGACCCTGTCTCAAAAAGACAAAAAAAAGGGCGGGGGGGGGGGATGCACAGAGCCACAAAGAAAATGACCTGCAACCACAGGAGGGAGTAAGAAGCACTCCAAGGCTGTGTCATTATCCCTGTTATTCCTGGGTTTTAAACCCTTTCTGCAAAGCAGCAAACCCAGCAGAAGCACAGCAATGCACAGCAACCTAACCTCAGGCTCTAACAGATGCTCAGAAGTAAGACAGAAAGCATAGAGAAAAATCAGCCAAACTCTTCAATGAGGATTGCACCTAACGTCAGACTTAGTACAGACGACTCAGCAGGACAGCGCTTGGCCACCACCTGGGAGAAGGGAAAAAATCAGGCACAAATTTCCTATGATGACAGTGATCACTATGTATATCAAAAGTACACCAATAACATTAACTTTAAAAATCCCCTCACCCAAGTGGTAAATCCACCCAGCTCCTCCCCCACCCCACCCCCACGGGGCATACAACCTAAGGGCCTCTACATCCCCAGCCCTTTTTCTTTTCTAAGGATCTTGCTAAATTGCTCAATTTCTCAGGCTGGCCTTGAATGTGCAATCCTCCTGCTACAGCCTGCCAAATAGCTTCAGGATATAATTCTTTTCTCTCTTATTGGTACATTTTAGAGATACATAACATTCATCATAGGGAATTTGTGCCTGTACATGATACAGCTTGCTTTTTTCCCACTCCCCTCCCCTTCCTTCATTTCCTCTTCCTCTCAGTTATAAAAGCTTTGTTTCTATTTTTTTTTTCTAATTTTTTAATTTTTTCAGTACTGGGGATCAAACTCATGACCGCCTGCTTGCAAGGCAGGTGCTTTTGCTGCTGAGCTAAATCCCCCAGCCCGTTCCCAGTTTTTCTTGTCCCTTACTTCTTTTCCCCCTCCCTTGTTCCACTTATTTGAACACTTTCTTCCCCTTTCCCAATAACTATCATTTACACTTTCAGTCTCATACATCAGGAAAAAAATGCAGTATTTAGGGGCTGGGGATTTAGCTCAGCGGCATAAGCACCTGCCTTGCAAGCAGGCAGTCGTGAGTTTGATCCCTGGTACCGAAGGGGGAAAAAAATGCAGTATTTAAACATGTATGTTCAATTTATTTCACCTAGGAGTATGGTCTTAGGGTACATTTATTTAGCTATAGATGTCTCAAGTATATCCATCTTTATGGCATAGTAGTACTCCACTATATAAAAAACACCACATCTTCTTTATCAATTCATTGGTTAATGAGCATTTGGGTTGTTTCCAAGATTTGTCTATTACAAACTGTGCTGCTATAAACATTGGTATGCATATGTCTCTGAGGTATGATGCTTTTAATTCTTTTGGGAGATACCCAG